GTGTCGCTGTCCCTCTATATATCACAAATAACATGCTTTCAAACACTCTGATTATATGCTCTGCCTTGCCATAATCTGGATAATGTATAAAATGTAGTTCTGTAACGTGTTTAGGCTCGCAGATTAACCATAAAACCCAGTAAAAAAGTTACTTGGTGAGGCAAACAGTACGCCTGCCTCAAGGCAGAGGGCGCTAGTGAGCCCACAGATTCTTGCGCTACCTACAATCTTCTTCGTGCTTGTTTATATTTCCTTTACAATCCGCCTTATCAAAATGGAAGATTACATTTCCAAGCTGAGAAAATTCGCAAATCTGGACTTTCAATCAAAACATTTTTGACAGTCTGGACATTTTTGTCCAGAAGGATCTTCTTTATTGAAAACATTTGTTTTAATATTGGATTCGAACGGTAAAAGGGTTTGTAATACATACCAGCTGACAAATGGATTTCATGTACAAGTAAAGGTAAGACCATAAACTTTTATTATTTCTAGTTAGAAATAAGCTCAACTGGAATAAATTTTAACCTCAAATTAAATATGGGTCACGTTTGTGTGAAGAATGTTGATATGAGATATAAAACATAACGCATTGTCTGTTAACAGACAATTTGTTAACGGTTCATTTGTATTTGTAAATCTGACTAAAAGAGTCAGTGCCTCACCAGCTGTCAACCTCACAGCACGTCACTGGAAATGAAACCCTATAAACTGCAAATTAAAATATGCTACATACAGTAAATGAGAATCAAATAGCATTTCATAGTCATGAGTTGAGATTTAATTATAGTACAGTACCGTTTTATTTCACTATAAATGTTTACTAAGTTTATTAATTAGCTCATTTCACTGTGGGGCTCCGTGTGTTCCCGTCTGAGACCATCACACGAGCAGCCCTCTGTCTTATTACACCGGTCTCAGTGTTGTTACAGAGAGATGCAGACGATAAATCTGCCACATATGCTCCGTGTTCATCAGCGTGCTCCATCACGCACAGCCCATCTCCCAGCTGCCCGAGGGGGAGCGGCAGGTGGCTGGGATGCACGAGTGGGGGGTGCACACACGCTCGTACACCTCTATCCAAACCCTAACCTGAAACCCTCAGACTATCCTGCGCAGGTGTGAGGGCCTCACCTTCCCAGAATGTGCCCAGGAGCTCAGACCGGTCCTCACAGAGATAGCCGTGCCAGTGCACACACACTGTGTTTGGCAGCTGTCACAGGCTTATCTCCGACACGCTGATCCAGACACGCACACTGCTTTCTAATCCCAGATGTTATCTCCACTGAAGGGCGAGGGAAAATACAACAGGGCGTTTTTCATCAACGGGAAATGAAATGCTTCGGAAAACCGATGCTGGTCCTTTAATCTCCCAAAGTATTCACACAGTGTAACTCTGCAGCCTTCACTTCACAGAGTTACTGTACTATGGAGTATTGTTATATAATCCGCTTCAAAGTTCATTTAAACCTTTATTTCACATGTTGCCAGCTTCTTATGTCTTGCTAAATTTTATAGCACCAATTCGCCACATCAGATTTTGATGCGCATTATTTGAGAAAATGCATTTAAAGAATTCTAAATGCCTGCATAACCGGTGTGTTAGAATTCTAAATGCCTGCATAACCGGTGTGTTGTAATGTTATGGGAGTGATGACACTTTAATTAGAAGAAGGGGAAATGACTAAAACCAGGGCTTCTCAAACTTAATATTCAAAGGTTCAGAACGTTAGCAGCGTTAGCTGACTTGCTAATTTTTAACGGTCGCCTGTTAGCCGGCCCTCGAGCTCTGTCACTTGTTGACGTCAAACGTCATACGCTCACCTGCGTTGCCATGACAACAGTGTCAGACAGGGAAGCAATATGTTTAGCCTTAATCTTGGGCCAGGATCGCTGTAACAATCTCCAAATAAACCTTATGCTACAAACCTAACAATGTGTTGATAAGTATAAAAGTAGGAAACGTGCACTTCATTGCATTGTATTTTAAAGTGTGGGCTGGATCCGGACTGGGGTCCGGACCTTGAGAAGACCTGCTAAAACTGTCATTCCAGGTGGAAATACACTTCTTTTTTTTTTACACAGTTGTATTTCAGATGAAGTTTCAGTTCTACCAGGCGGATCAGTAGCCAGGGTATTTCATCACAGCTGTCTACAGTTCAATGGAAAAACTAAAAATGAAAAGGTAAAAAGCTAAAACCACAAAAGTCCCATTGTTTCATGTGCAGTTACATGTATTCATGTGTGGTAAACTTGAAAAGGTTGGGAACAGATTTGTTTCTGTGATTGTAATTTTGTATATAACCAGGTTTGCACCTGTAAAGTGAATTTTCTAAGCTTGGACACTTTACACCGGTTGAGTTAATCTTTCATTGAGTTCATTCTCCCTGCAAACTCCATTGTCAGTTTACGTCTTGTCGTCTTACACTCACAGGCTATGAGGCAAAAACAAATGATATTCGGTGTCTGTGTGTGTTCACTGGCCTTTGACATGTTTATTGTGTGGTCAAGTTACTGGATGATTTTTCTAGTTTTGTCAAAGAATCACTCAGTCCAAAGCTGAATTCCCATCCCAGCACCAAAACAAAGGTCTTGTGCTGCATGTTTTGCATTCGTTGATGCAGTATTTACCACTCTGAAACTCCTGGGGGCGCTGAACTAAGCGGTGCCACCTCAGTTTCAGTCCTAGTGATGATAGCAGGTGATTGGTATGTTACAAAAACTCAAACTGTTTTTGTAGCTGCAGCTGCATGCTGATATTTCACCATGTGAATAGGCTGCTCTGTGTCTGGTCTCCATACAAGGATAAGCTGTTTGTACAGTTTGGAAAATTCAGAAACACAAGTAGGATAATTAGTTATTGTCTGTTCAGGTGGTGGTCAGCAGTCATTGGCTGCACCTGCCAACGCTTGTTGTTCTGCCATGGTGTGAACACATCGTTACAGATAGTGTGTTTCTTTTATAAAGCTCTGCTCAGAAAACTTGACCATGTCACAAGAAAAAGAAAAGAAAAAAGCTTACAGCACTCTTTGAGGCACACCTTCTTAAATTTTACCATATTTCAGAAATGCCATTTTTTAAAGATGTATCAAAAGTCAACTGTACATCATAAATGATCTGTTGTGTTTCCATCCAACCTGGGACGTTGGATGAAGTCAGTGGTTCTTGGTCCTGGATCTGTCGGCAAAAATGTACTTTCTTTTACGTGTGTGAGAGTGTCATAAGATTAACAAGTGCTATCTACATAGCTGTCCCCAGGCCCTTCTAATGAGCTCTGTGCTATCTCATCCACACCTCCTTGCAGCAGCTGTCCAGCTGTGACAATAGCTTGAGTGCTGATAAGCCGTGTTTTAGGGCAACAGGCTCCAAATGCCCTTCACACCATCTGGCACACGTTTGCCAAACAACAGAGAAACACAGAAAAGTCAAGGCATGGGTTAATCTTTGTTTTATCTCAACAGTTTGTGCTCATATAGAAAGGCTACTCGGTTAGTCAAGACGTACCAAACACCTGGAATTGCTGAATGAAGAATTTGAAGATACATTTAAATTTCTAGAACAATACAGAGCAGTCTGGTCAGGTATGCGTTCTTACCAGGACTGACATGTTTCACCAATGAATTAATAGCATATTGTTCTGACTACCAAACAATGAATTAATAGCATATTGTTCTGACCATTTATCTGTTGTTTTTAACTGTTTCAAATGTTTATCCATTACATTTAGCTCACTCATTTACCTGCTCCCTTGTGAATTTGCCCACAGCGTCTACTAGAAACCGTAGTGTCCAGATGATACAGCTGTTACCTGCCTTGAAACTGCTGAAGTGACCTGCTGTGTACATGTAACCCCGGCTGAGAGTCGCCTCACACTGGTTCAACAAACCGTATCTTATATCTGCCTGCACGTGCAACGTTGTCATTTAAATAAATAGCACTATTGCCAACTCATGTAACACAACTTTGAGTCTATCTACACTTGTGTGTTTCCTCCACTCAGTGTCAGGAGGGTAAAACCATCCCAACCACAGGAACTGACGTGGTTTCACGTTTTCACCAGCAGCAGCTTGTTTGGAGAAAACTGGCAAAAGAAAAGTTCGGTACCATAAAGTTAAACTGAAGAAACAAAAAATTGGAAAGGGGCATCACAGTAATTGTTGTTCACTGTTTGGAGACTAAAATAAATGCATTTAAAGGAATGGTTAGTTCAGAGCAGCTGTCTACTGTCATTTTGCACTGAAGGTCCACCGTAGTGAGATGTCTTTTCTGGGTCTGCTTTCGTTTGGTTTCAAGGGCCTACTTAAAGCTCTGCTATTCCAATCTATTTCTGTTCAAGTGCCATCTATTAGGCTCAGTGAAGGGAGTGCTCGCGGTGGTTGTGCATATTGGATGGAGTTTACGCACCCCACAGAGCGGAGGCGGTGTTTCGCTCTGTCTACAGAGGAGAGCACACTTCAGAAACAATCAAACATCTGTGCATGATGAGCTGTAATGAAATGTTGTTCTGGTTGGTTTGAAGAA